AGGTAAATATATTGTACTGTTGTTATGATCAATTATGTTGCTGTTCTCTTATGCTCGACTTAAGATCCTCTAAATAAGAGATGGAAGCCAGTGCTTGAAGTGATTTTTAAAGCGTTTCCATTCGTCTCATTCTTGTATACTTCTAATAAATGTAAAGAGAAAAAGATTCTGTAGAATGCTTGGTGAATGCTAATTTACAGGTGATAGTATGTGTTTAATTCTCATGTGGAATGCTTCAATGGAAATCTTTAACAATCTACATCATGAGATCATTTAATCATTGATTTAACATAGAATTTATGTCTGTTTGGAAAAGAGGTCAATGGTTGTCCTGTTGAATATACACAAAAAAAATAAAATAAACAATAAACTATGTTAACGAAACCTTATTAAGAAAATGCATTTCAGAAATAAGACGTAACGCACGTTTTACATTTTTTTTGAGTAAAATACAAATTTTCATTAGATAACTAGTCGTGGACACTCGAAGAAATAATATATAAAACACAATAAATCCAATTTCTAACAATCGGGGAAATTATTGATTTAATGCTATATAAACGACAAAAGTTATATAGACAAAATTAGATTAATTATAAATATGATGGTTACAGAGTAAGTGTTCTCAACAAAGCTAATTAGACTCAAAACCTTTCTCCGTAATGATCTTAGAAACCGAGGGTTAATTTCACAAACGGTCACTGAACTATAGAGAAAATTACAAAATGGTCACTGAAGTTTAAAACTTTCACTAACGGTCACTTCAGTTTGGGCACTATCAAAAATGGTCACTGAAGTTTAAAAATTTTCAGAAACGCTTACTGAATTTTTTTTTTCCAGTTTTTTGGGCTACATTTGCTACAACTTTTCTATCATTTTCGACTACCGATACCACCAAATTTTGATACCTTTGAAAAGCCCACAATGTGCTCTTCCATTACTACCCAAAATCTCTCCGTAACTCCAAGGAATTCGACAGGAAAATCGCCAAAAAAATCTGCAAATCTACCAAAATCTTCAGATTTTTGGTCGATTTTTGCGGCGATTTTCCTATGAATTCCGACCACCAAACTGGATAATTTTGGATGGTAATTGAAGAGGAGATTGTAGGCTTTCCAAGGGTATCAAAATCCGGCAAAATTGATGGTTGGAAGTTTCCGGAAAGTTGCCTCAAAAGTCACCCAAAAAACTGAAAAATTTGCCCAGATTTTCGCCTTTCCGGGTAGCCAATTTTGTGGGTTTATTCCGGCCGAATATTTTGGAGTTTGGGGGAGATTTTTCATGGTAATTGAAGAAGACATTATAGTTTTTTCAACGGTATCAAAATCAGTTGGTATTGGTGGCCGGAAGTTTCCGGAAAGTTGCCTTAAAGTAGCCCATAAAATCTGAAAAATCTACCTAGATTTTCGCCTTTTCGGGTAGCCAATTATGTGGGTTTATTCCGGCCGAATCCTTTGAAATTTGGGGGAGATTTTTGATGATAATTGAAGAGGACATTGTAAGCTTTCCAAAGGTATCAAAATCCAGTGGCATTGGTGGTCGGAAGTTGTCGAAAAATTGCCTCAAAAGTAGCCTAAAAATCAGCCCACATTTTCGCCTTTTTGGGTAGCCAACTTTGTGGGTTTATTCCGGCCAAATCCTTAGGAGTTTGGGGGATATTTTGGATGGTAATTTAAGAGGACGTTGTGGGCTTTCCAATGGTAACCAAATCCGGCAATTTTGGTGGTTGGAAGTCGTCGAAAAATCGCCGCAAATTTGGCCCAAAAAATCTGAAAATCTGGACAGATTTTCCGATTTTTTGGGTGAATTTTGCAACGATTTTCTGGTCGAATCCCTTGGAATTATGGGGAGACTTTGGGTGGTAATTGAAGAGGACATTGTGGTCATTTCAACGGTATCAAAATTTGATGGTATCGGTGATCAGAAGTGGCCGAAAAATTGCCGCAAAAATAGCCCAAAAAACTGAAAATTTAGTGACCATTTCTGAAAGTTTTTAAACTTTAATGACCATTTTTGAAAGCGCCTGGAAACGTAAGTGACCGTTACTGAAAGTTTTAAACTTCAGTGATCGTTTTGTAATTTTTGCATAAGTTCAGTGACATTTGTGAAATTAACCCTAGAAACCGATCATTTTATACAGAAAATCTCAATATCATACTTGTCTAGAAGAGTTATTATTCTTATTTTTTTTAATGCCTGGTATACTATGATGTGCAATTTATTTATAAAAACTACCCATAATGAGAACTTACATGTTACTAATCTCGAATTCAAATGGGAGTATGTTTGGGAAAAAAGGACGCACATTACACTATGACTTGTTTGTCATAGCTTTTGCTTTTTGTAAAAGATTTTTTTGGTGGAAGTTACCTTAATTTTTGTTTGTAAATTAATTTTTCAAAATATTTTCTATTTCTTAAGCACTTTAGAGGAAGTCACTGCAGACCAACTTCTTATAAAAACTTTTATATTTACTGAAAGCATGTTATAAATTTAATCAAACGGATCCCAAAGTATTGTTTAAATCTCAAAAGCTCTTTTTTAATTTTCCTAATCGATCAAGTGGAGCTTGTACATCGATTTTGTCAACATAGCCGGCTCTTACTTTTCTAAGTCATGATTCCCAGTTCAAGTGTGAGTAAACTCTTGTGTGGTGTCCATTGATCTATGCATCTGCATTTCCACAGTCTGCTCTGCTATAAATGTCCGTTTCGCTTCAACATTTTTAGTAGCTCCCCAACTAGGATTTGAATCTACGATCAGCTAGTTCTAGAACATTAATATGTCTCTTCTTTTTTTTTTTTTACCTATTTAAATGTAGAAAACTTTGGCTTGTCCCCAAGTGAAGAATTGCAAAAGTGATGTCTACGAGTGGGTTTCACATGGAGCATGTTCTCATTGTTTAATCTTCGATACTTACTATGGGGTTGAGGAACAGAGTATGGTTTAAGAAAAATATTAAAATAATGAGACATGATATGGAGAAGAAGAGAAGAGTGTTGAAGAAAAATATTCAGCAATAATATGTAAATCCAGCATAGAAAATTTAGAAGTGGATTGAAATTGAGAAAATAATGCAAAAGGAGTAACAATTTTATGACAATTTACATATTTTTCCTTATTTCTTTCCTTTCCCTGGAGCAGCCACTGATGTAGCAGGAGTGATACAGGAGGTTGGACATGGCGTAAAAAATTTCAAACCAGGTGACCAAGTTGTTGCCATGCTAAGTCTTCTTGTAAGTGTAATCTTTTTATTTGTTTTATTGTGACACAACTGCGTTATTTAAGTTTTTGCATTTCCTTGATGGATAACTATCGTTCATACTTACCGAAAGTATGGAAGGTATTTTGTTTGATCGTGTTGAATTGATTATACAGAGTTTACCCTATTTACTGTTAGGAAATTGATAGATTCAGCCTTTGAGTGCAGCTGTGATCTACCCTGGAGTTAAGGATGAAAATTGTACAGGAAACAGAAATGAAATTCTGTATTGATTTGGAAATGGAATTACTAAACACAAAAGGAAATACAACCAGCCGTCTCAGAGGGCTGTGGCACTCTACCCTCTGATTTTACTTCCTAAAATTCACATGTCCATCATCTCTCACTCTTATTCTATTTATAGACTCATGTAACAGATTTTAGCTACCCCACCCCATCCTTCTAACAGAATTTGTTACTGCCTTCCCCTTCTCCATTCTTCTTGTTCCTTCTAGAATGCGTACATCTAATTGGGGGCTTATCAGAATCAGAATTTCTGTTGTGAAAGAACGTGCCTATGCATGTTATGTGTAGTTTCTGCTATTGTTATATCTTTGTCGATTTCAATGACAGACTGGAGGTGGTTTGGCTGAGTATGCTGTGGCTAAAAAGAGCCTGACTGTTCCAAGGCCTCCTGAAGTATCAGCTGCTGAAGGTGCAGGCCTGCCTATTGCTGGTCTCACGGCTCACATGGCCCTCACCCAATTTTCCGGGGTCAAGCTTGACGGGAGTGGCCCACGGAAAAACATTCTCATAACTGCTGCCTCAGGTGGTGTTGGTCAATATGCTGTTCAATTGGCCAAGCTCGGAAATACGCACGTGACAGCTACTTGTGGTTCCCGTAATATTGATTTCGTGAAAAGCTTAGGAGCAGACGAGGTTATCGATTACAAGACCCCAGAGGGAGCAGCTCTTAAGAGTCCATCAGGTCAGAAATATGATGCTGTAGTTCATTGTGCAACAGCCATTCCTTGGTCTGTTTTTGAACCAAATTTGAGTGAAACGGGGAAGGTAATTGATATCACTCCTGGCCTCAATGCCATGTGGACCTTCGTAGTAAAGAAACTTACTCTCTCCAAGAAGCAATTGGTGCCACTGCTTGTAATTCCCAAAAAGGAGAAGCTCGAGTACTTAGTTAATTTGGTTAAGGAAGGGAAACTCAAGACAGTTATCAACTCAAAACATCCTCTGATCAGAGCTGAAGAAGCATGGGCTAAGAGCATAGATGGTCATGCTACTGGCAAGATTATAGTCGAGCCCTGAATTGGTAAACAGCTTTGATTGTCACTTCTCGAGTGGATCATGCCATATTTGTTTTATTGGGATAAAGAGGGGTGTGTGTGTGTGTGTGAACTGTGTGGACAGGTATATACATTGTACTCTTGTTATGATGAATTTTGGTACTGTTCTCTTATTCTCAACTTAAGATCCTCTTTATTTAGAGATGGAAGCCAGTGCTTGAAGTGATTTTTAAAGCGTTTCTATTCGTCTCATTCTCGTATACTTCTAATAAATGTAAAGAAGAGAAAAGGTTCAGTAGAATGCTTGGCGATTGCTAATTTACAGTTGATAGCATGAGTTTAATTCCCGTGTGGACTGCTTCAATGGAAATCTTAAACAATCTACATCATTAGATCATTTAATAATTGATTTAACTATTCAGATTTAATATAGAATTTATCTCATTGGAAAAGAGGTCAATGGTTGTCCTTTTGAATATACACAAAATAAATAAATAAAAAACAAACTATGTTAATGAACAAAAAGTCAAGCCGGAAATAGAGACTAGAAAAAAATGGCACGTTAGATTTTTCCATTTTACTAATGGAAGTTAAATGATTAATGTTGTAACAAAATTAAAGTTCAGTGATCAATATGACATTTTATTAAGTTTAGTGGTTATAAATGAAACTCTGTTATGATAAAATAAAATGAAACTTATTTGCTTTCTATAAAATATTTTTTTAGAGAAAGTTACCTTATTTTTTGTTTGGAAATTAATTTTTAAAAGCACTTTTGATTTTAGAATTACTTTAGAAAGAGTCTCCTATAAAAACTCTCCGAATTACTGAAACCACTGTCACAAATTTAGTCCAACAAGTTCAAAAATAATTTTTGAATCTCGAAAACCCATTTTGATTTTTTCAAAGTACACGTCAATCATGCTCTGCAATCGCTTGTTTCTTAATTTTCCTAGTCAATCAAGGGGAGCTTGGACTTTGATTTTGTCAACATAACTAGCTCTTACTTTTCAAAGTCATAATTCCCAGTTCAAGTGGGAATAATTTAGAGCAGACACTTGCGTGGTGTCCATTCATCTATGCATATGCATTTACACAGTTTTTGCTCTGCTATAAAAGTCCGTTTCGCTCCAACATTTTTGGTCACAACTATATTTTCTGCACTCTTATTTGTGTAATTGAAGTAACTGCGAGTTGGTTAATTATGGCGGGGAAACTTATGCACACAGTTCAATATGATTGTTACGGTGGAGGAGTCGCTGGTTTGAAGGTGATTTCATGGAAATTCTTGATTTTTAGTATTATTTTAAATATTTTATTGAATATTAAATATGATAGTTACCAACTTAGGGTTCTTACTCTATGCTTGTTAGAGTGTATGTTTTAATTCAATTTGCTTATGCAAAGGCTATCTGATGATGCAATTCTAAATTATTATTCTTGTTAGAAAATCAAATTAGATCCAAATATAAATTAAATCCTAGGATCAACATCATGCTAAATTACTAGAATTCACAGATTCAGATAATATACCTGTATCCATTGTAAACGATTGCCTACTGTAGCGGAATTATTGCAACAATCGACTACGTACCGATGAATGCAAATGAAGAGGGTGGTTTTGTGATCTTCCTCAACCAAATCTCCTTATTCTTCAATGGGACCATGATTTCTCTTCTTGATGGGGAGAAGGGAAAAAAGTGTATGATTTGGTATATTGGGGACCATAACCAAAATAACCTTTATATACTACTTAATTAAGGTTCCCATTATCCCTTAATTAGAGTAATATTAGTCGGTATCTACTCACTTAGTCCATATTAATTTGAGTAGTCTATGGGCATACAAAAAATAGACCACTTGATTTTTGCCCATTATATTAAATAGCTAATATAATTGTATTAATATGTTGCCAATATTAATTTAGGAAAATCGTGTTTTTCTAACAATTATTATTTTGCTTCTTGAAGCATGTTGAAGTTCCAATTCCCACTCCAGGTAAAGATGAAGTGCTGCTGAAGTTAGAAGCCACCTGCTTAAATGCATTTGACTGGAAAATTCAGAAGGGTGTAACTCGACCATTTATTCCTTGCAGATTTCCTTATATACCTGGTGACCTTACTATCCCGTATTTCAGAATAATCAGCAGATTTTGTCCTTTCACGAGTTTGAATGGTTGCTTGAGATTGTGAATTCCAAACTGTGTTGGCTCAACCAAATGAATTTTAGAGGAGAGAGAACAAACTATCTAACAGAGCAACAGAGAGAGATGATAGGCTACCAACATTGGTACGATACATACTATCCGAGAAAGGTTTACCATTGGACGGAGATAATTGAGCATCAAGCTCAAGAGGCATCTCATCCGTTTGAGTATCAATAGCGTGAGCCAGCTAAACGACATTTGGTGTACATTTAGCCCGCTGTTTGTCACCATTTGAAATAAAACTCTTAATTCTCATACTCATTTTCAACTAATATTTTGTATGTAAACTCAAAATTTTTTCATACTTTTTAACCACACATTCTTCGAAATTCACAATTCAAAACATCATTTTTCTCAATAATTGCCACCAGACAGGGGCTTAGACTAAGACAGATGAGAGAAAACAACTTCTATCCCCAAGACACATGACATAGTGAGTCCAAGTTTCTTAAGCTGAATCATGATGACCAGAGGAAAATAATAGAAAGACAGAGGATGAGGTGTTTGTCTGATACCATTCATAGCTTTCTTTAGTCTGCAAATTTTATCATGATTATGACAAACATTAGGATTGTGTGGAATGGGGGGTTACCATCTGACTTGGTTTTAATTTTATAGTCACAGAGAGAACCTGTTGTACTTTTATAGGTGGTGGTGGAACCAATTCAAAGTATTTGTCTTATGCAGAGTGTTCCTTAGCAATATGCTGCTGCCGAAGAGGATCAATAAGCATCGCTTTATAGAATAGGGGCTCAAATAAACTAGATAAAGGCTAGGCTAAGAAACAAGATAAAGAATCAGAATATTTGGAAATTTAGTAGACTAAGATAACATTGAGGATTGAAGGTGCTCATAAAACTATATGAAGGGAGGGAGAATCGGAAATTCTATAGAACTAATTGTTCAAACTCTTCAATTGTAATAGAAACAAAATGGAAGACGACTAGAGTCATATAGCTTTGAGTAGTTTCTGATATAATATCCTCGAACTAGTGTCCTTGGCGAGAAGTTTAGAGATAACATGATCATGCACTTGTCCAACATGTGATCCTCCCTTTTCATCGAGTAAGATTCCTGGTGAACTTATGTTTGCTCTTTGATTATTGCAATTTCTTGAGCTTTTGCCAAATGTTTAGCAGTTGAAGGTGTGTCCCGAACCTATTAGTTGTATCATGTTAAAATTAGCATTACGAAATATACTGTTAAAATTAGCTTGGTCACTGCACACATCCGCATTTAGTTGCTTTTGATTAATACTGAGGATTGTTGGGGAGACTCATATGGTGGAGCTTGCATGAAATCAAAATAACAAGACAAATTTCTCTATCTTTGGCATGCACTTAGTAAAATTATGATTGAAACTGTGTACCACAAATAGGATCTGATGATGAGACTCACAATCCAATAGAAATACACCAAGATCCCTTGTGGGAAAAAAATGATCATCCGATGAAGTCTCATAATGACTACATATTTTTTCCTTTTTCTTATTCCCTTTTTTTTCTGGAGTAGCTACTGATGTAGCAGGAGTAGTACAGGAGGTTGGACCTGGCGTCAAGAATTTCAAACCAGGTGACGAAGTTGTTGCTATGTTTTATCATTTTGTAAGTGTCAAGACAATCTATTTGTTATGTTTGCGGACTTATTTTTCACCAGTTCACTTCACCGACAACAACAGTGCAGCTGAATTTTTTTTCATTTTATTGTGAAAGATACCCCCTAGATTTGTTGTACTGATGGTTATGCATCTTGTATGTAGACTGGAGGTGGTTTGGCTGAGTATGCGGTGGCTAAAGAGAGCCTGACTGTTCCAAGGCCTCCTGAAATATCTGCTGCTGAAGGTGCAGGCCTGCCTGTTGCTAGTCTTACGGCTCACCTAGCCCTTACTCAATCTGCCGGGATCAAGCTTGATGGAAGTGGCCCACGGAAAAATGTGCTCATCACTGCTGCCTCAGGTGGTGTTGGTCATTATGCCGTTCAATTGGCAAAGCTCGGAAATACACATGTGACGGCTACTTGTGGTGCCCGGAATGTTGATTTTGTGAAGAACTTGGGAGCAGATGAGGTTATCGATTACAAGACCCCAGAAGGAGAAGCTCTTAAGAGTCCATCAGGTCAGAAATATGATGCAGTGATCCATTGCACAACAGGCATTCCATGGTCTGTTTTCGAGCCTAATTTGACTGAAACGGGGAAGGTAATTGATCTCACTCCTGGCCCCAGTGCAATGTGGACCTTTGCAATAAAGAAACTTACTTTTTCTAAAAAGCAACTGGTGCCATTTCTTCTAATTCCCAAAAAGGAGGGCTTGGATGCCGTTGTTAAGTTGGCAAAGGAAGGGAAGCTCAAGACAGCGATCGATTCAAAACACCCTTTGAGCCGAGCTGATGAGGCATGGACTAAGTGCATTGATGGTCATGCTACTGGTAAAATTATTGTCGAGCCATGAATCGGTTAACAACAATACAACAATGACTACTGTCTCAAGTGGATCGCGCCATGTTCGTATAATTAGAATAAAGAGTTGTTTTTGTGAGCCATTTGGATAGGTATGTGCCTTTGTAATGCTTAAGTCACATTAATTAATTGGTAACAGACAATTATTTCTCGTATTCAACTTGGTCATAATGCTAATAAAATAGGTTATTAAATGAGGGGAGTCGAGCCACTTAATTTCCCCACAGTTGGGCTCACTCCACCACATGAATCGACTCACGCTTGTATGTGGAGCGAGTCGACCACGATGTCATAACACGATGACTTTAAATCTCTCATGATCGACCAGATCAAAGGGCATTATCGTCAAGAAATACACCCAGCATAAATACACAATTAACTCAGGGTCATTATAGTAAATTAATGAATAGTTATATTCACATCACATTTTAATTACATTAGAAGTCATTCATTATCATACTTCTTGTATCTTTAACTATTTTCTTCATCACATTGTTATTTTTAACATTGTATTAATAAAAAATATTGTTCTTAAACATGATTTTCATCTAAAAATATTATTAACGTGCTCTAAAATGAGGGTAAACACGATGGATAAATGAGTCATTTCACTTTATTTTAAAGAAAATATTGGAGAGAAGTCATAATTAGAAACAGTTTATGTTAATTTAAAAATAAGAATGTGGTGAAAAATAGTTTGAAGAAGCTCGTGTTTGGAAGCCATTCTTAGCCACTTTCTAGAAGAACCCTTACTATTATACAGTGTGCGTGTCAGTGAGCCAACTATTACTTTTGAATGAATTCAGTCAAATTATCAATTTGCCCCTTCGGAATAAAATTCATTCTTCTTTAAGTAATAACAATTCGATAAAATACATCTTGTGCAGTAAAAAGTTATAGCGCAATTAGGTCCCACTAACCGTTTCAAATGGAGGAAAAACTTATTAAAATCTGGCCACAATGCCTACCACACAAGCGCATAAATGTGATAATCTTAAAAATTATGAACATTGATGAGTGATTTACACTCATTATATTATGCCATTAATTTCATGATTTTGCTATCTTGGAGAGTATTTTAGAAGTGCTAACAAGTGATTTTGGTGTTGTTTTGTAAATTAATGGAAATGGAGAAAACTAGAGCTAAAAGAGGTCAAAGGAAGGAAATAGGCAAAAGCTAGCGAAATTGGATGAAATGACCAAAACGTAAGAGATCCAAAGTTCGAGGATTAAAATGCAATTAATCAAAAGTCGTGTCGAAACTTGAAATGAAGATCCGAGAGTTCTAGAAGCCAATTGGACAAAGGAAGGTGTCGAAGGGATCAAATTTAGTCAAGATATGATCATAAATCATTTTCCAACCAAAAAGTTTTGCGCTGGAGTTTTCGTCTCACATTTAGACTCATTTTTGACATAGAAAACGATCGAATTGGAGAATGATTCCTGAAGCAAAATTGTAGTCCTTTGAATTATCTTTCCAACGCATCTTGAATCACTTCAATCAGATATCGAACGAAAAAGTTATGATAAAAATACTGAAAGCTGTACAGTGCAATCGAAGTAGTCCTTAGCGCCCAAGCGCTATCCCTCAGCGCCTAGGCGCCATGATGCTGAAATTTTGACAGAAAGTCAGCGCCTAGGCGCCCAAATAGCAGCGCCTAGGCGCCGCCGTGCGAGAGTAATTTTTTTAGGTTTTTACCATTCTTTTTCGGCCCAACTCATCTCCAAATCTTTCCCAAGACTCCAAGACAATATAAACACAGGATTGAAGACCTAAATGAGGAAGGAGCCGCACACTAAAAATCTAGGGGATCAAGCCACGCGTTCTTGACATATTGGAGAGAAAAACAACAAGAAGGGAGATTCAAGGGAGAAATTTAAGAAGATTAAAACCAACAATTGAAGATTGGAAGCACTCATTGGAAGAGGAAGGAGATCTTGGTGCAAGAATTTCATTTTTTCTTCCACATCTTTATTTCAAACTCGGTGATGTATTCTAAGACAATCTCCTATTTTTCTTCCATTATTATGAGTAGTTAAATTTCATGTTAGGGCGAACAATGTAATCTTTTGGAACCCTTTATTTCATGCAATTGAGATTCTAGTACTTTTATATTTCATGTGTTGATTTTAATGTTGTTCTTAATACATTTAATTACTTGATCACTAATTAGATGATTTGTGAACATTGATTGCGTAGAGATGCGGATTATTTGTTTAGACCACATGTTAAAATCCGGTAAATTGATATAATGTGTAAAGATACCTATATTGATTGCTGCGGTCGGGTCATTCTTAGAACCAATGTTTCGTTTAATTAAATTTAATTTGCATAGAGATATGGAATTAAACTAATTAAGTAGGCTCAATGAGAACTCGAGAGGGGTAAGTTGAATACGATAGAAGAATTCGACCGAACACTGCCTTAGGTTTTATGAATCTTGATTTATGAAGTAAAGGTGACCAATAGGTGAAATTGTTCCGCCCTAACGTCCATTTATTGTTTGAATTCTCAATCACTTCTCGTTAAATCCAATCGCATTTTTAAGTTTTTAGAATAAAAATCACATTTAATCATTGTTTTTTTATTTATATTCGTCAAATAGTAGTTAAAGAAAGATTAAATTAAGTGTTAGACAATAGTCCTCGTGGGATCGATAACCGGACTCTTAGGTCCACTATTACTTGTTACGGGTCGTACACTTGCGAAACAAAATAATACAACAAACATTCAATACAAGTAAAATATAATCTAATTATAAAAAATTATGGGTTGATAATGTTGAGTCTAAATTTAATAAGAAAAAATTGTTCATTAAGGAGTAACTAAGGGACCACTTGATTTTCTCCCAACATCAACTAATTATGATTTTCGTATCTTCTAATGAATGAAGCCATGTTCTATTGCCATTATATTGAGAAATTGGGGGAAATGGAAACTTTATATTCATCTGAATTTGATACATTAATTTATTTCTGCAGAAAGGGTCAACAAAAGCCAAAGTACAGGAGTGGGTTCACTTCTATTAATAAATTATTGGTCCATTCTCCTTGAAGGCGTTTTGGGTGTGATCTTTCCCCTTTTTTTCGTTTTTTTTGTTTTGTTTTTTTAAGGATCATGGTAGGTGCTGGAATACAGGAAAAAAAGGAGGTGTGTGATCTAATTTAACCCTAGACGATTTAGGGATTCAGAATGCCCTGATCACTAAAGCAATATCATTCTCGCGACATAATTTTAACATTTAGACACTTCTGCATTTGGATTTTTTATAGTTTGTGTCATTTTTTGTGCAGGATTTTCCCTCTTCGATAAATAGTAGTCATATACTTGCTGCTTTCAGTTTTTTTCCTTCTGATCACCGTGGAATTACTGCACAAGTGGGCCCTTCTCTATCATTATCTTCAGGTCAATTATATGCATTATCGCTAGATGTAAAAAAGAATTGGAAAAAGATGCAAGTACACCCCTGCCAGGTGAGAGAGGACCGCCCCACCTTTTTTAAATGCGTGTGGGCCCTGATCTTACAGTGAGGGGCCTGTGAGGTCCATGTGAACTGAGCTCTTGTACGTGGAGCTCAGTCCGAATTGCCGAAAGAATCTAGGTAAAATTTTAAAATCGTGGAATATTATCATATTAAATTACGGGCTTTTTTCTTTTTTTCTTTTTTTAATTATTAGCTGAATACCATCATTGCGGTCCAGCATCCTCGACTGTCCATTATTGGCAATGTCTTCTGCTTTCCGACAGTGTCAATATCTTTGAGGTCATATAGAATTTCCTGAAGATCACAGCACATACTTGCACAGATTGCTTGTAATTATTATATTATTTCATTCCGTACAAATATTATATGAATAATTTTCCTCTCGATGCGTTTTGCCATCGTATGTTGAATGCATATATAGATCAATCACAGGACAAGGATAGTTTTTTATTTTAAGTTGGATGGTATATGATAAGCTCGTTTGATGGCGTCTTTGCTATGAAAAATTTCGCGACAGCTGAATTTGATCACAACTTTTATCAGCGTTACCCTCACCAAATTGCCTTACATGCACCCTCAGTAACACGCTAGAACAAAGAGAATTTAATAACCAAACCTATATCTAAATGCTAGATATTCCAGCAATTGCCTCCATTTCCTTGACCACATTCTTAATAAAATTGTTTTGAATATCCTTATTAAGCAGAAACTCCTTCCATTTCCTCTGATTATTTCTTATGGACTTTCCTGGTTCTTCATTAATGTTTAACATAACTGTTTCGACAGCCCTCTTAATATCCTCCTTTCCGAAAAAACCATCCTCATCGATCCGATTTACCTCCACCCCAGCCTTGAGGTCTCCGTGTACTAGCTTTGAATTCACGTATTGGTCTCCCTTTTGGGGCAACATAACTAGTTGGCAGTCATTCACAATAGCCTCTATCACTGAGCTGAATCCTGCATGACATAAATAGCACCCCACGCTTTTATGTGCCAAAATCTGCTGCTGCTGCACCCACCCAGTATGAATTATTCCCTTAGCCTCCACACTTTCCAAGAACCCTTCAGGAAGTGCCCTGTTTAGCTCAGTTGAGACATCTACGTTTGGAAAGTTTAAGACAAGAAAAAATGGAAGACCTGTGAGTTCTAGCCCTAAAGCTAGTTCTTTGATTTGACTATCAGTTAAGAATGTTTCACTTCCAAAAGAACAGTAAATGACAGAGTTAGCTTCGAATTTGTCCAGCCATTTTGCCCATTCTTCCTCCAGTTGATCTGGTCGAGGCTCCGGAGGTAGAGGACCAACTAAAAGAACTGGTTTTTTGAATTGGGACTTGGCGTAATTTATGTAAGGGGCTTCCATTTCATCGCAGGTCTTGGCAAGTATAACCGAGCAGCTCTGCAGGCCCGAGATGACACGGTCATACACACAAGGTTTGCCATGAAAACTCTTGAATATGTAGAGAGAATCTTGAGCCTCGAAGGTTCTGAGTGAGGTGACACTGGTTTGGGGGAACCCTGGTGGAGGTTTTTTCATTTCGTCAATTGTGGGATATCTTCCAGGTTCAGGAAGCCTAGAAGGAACAGTAACATATGCAGTTGAGAGAGCAATAAACACAGAGTAGAAGACTGTTTGTATACCCAATTCAGAGGCTAATTTAGGGAGCCATTCTTGAGCAAAATCAAAAAGGACAAAATGGGGTTTGAGTTGTGATAAGAGTGTTCTAATTTGAGGTTGCATAAGATCAAGAGCAACCTTGAGGAGTTCAGATTGAGTTGGATTCAGATCAGCCGTACTGTCAACTCCAGGAGGGAGACCCTCGACGTGTGGGATATTGAAAGGGATAATTTGGGTGGTGGAAGCATCGTTGAGCATTGACCTTATGCGATTAACATTGGCTGATGCAGAGAAGAAAGAAACCTTGACGCCATGAGATGAAAGCTTGTTGGAAAGCTGGACAAACGGGCTGATATGACCAAAAGCGAAAAATGGAAACATCACTACATGAAGACTACTATGAGTGTTGCTTTTGTCAGTTTCCATCTCAAAGTGAATCGTAGGTGCCATAGATTTGGAACTTCGGGCTTCTATTTGATAAGGAAGCATTAAATTTGGTAGTTGAAATGCCAACAAACTTGACCCATGTTTGATAGCTATTATATTTTAAAAAATTATGTTTTAAGTAGGGATTTTTTAGGAGAATGTATAGTTAAAAAATAAATAAAAGTTTTAGATTTATGTATAAAATATTTTATTTTGTAAATTTGTAGTTGAAATTGAGCCCTTGTTTGGGCCTCATTTTTTTCATCAAAATACATTCTTCAAAAGTGATTTGACGTTACTTCAATAGCACGTTTTTCAATAAAATAATATTAAACACAAATTCAAAATTTTTCTTTATTTTTTAACAACATATTTTTCATCAATACATTATTTAAAAAAAAAAAAAAAATATATATATATATATATATTACAGGAATGGAGCTCAAACAAGTGTTGAGTATGAAAATCTATGCCCTTATTTGACAATCATTTTTCTTTCTTTTTTTCTAATATTCATTTTCAACAACATATTCACATAATAAAAATTTTTCACGTAAATTCAAAATATCTCCTTAGTTTTTAATCATATATTCTTCCAAAATTTACTATTCAAAAACTTATTCTTCCAAAAAAGGAAATATCTATCAAACGGGCTAAATTTGCGACCTTTTAATTTTTGTTGTATTATACTTGTGGTCCTTGTGAAAAGTTTTCATTCAATGTTGTGTTTATACCTGAGCCAAAAAAAAATCGAAAAATCAATCAAGCCAAATCGATCGATTTGACACGACACGAGTAATTAGTTTGGTTTGATTTCGTTTTCTTTTAAACAAAAATTATGGTGAGTCAATTCAGTCATGGTTTGAAATCTCAAACCTATGGTTAACCGAACTAATCAAATTCACTTACATGTTTACCCTTTTTTAATTTAAGCCAAAAAAAAATGAAGAAAAAAAAAAGAAAACCTAATTTAATAACTATATCTCAGTTCCCTCTAATTTATGATGTTGCCGATAAATAATAGCACCAAGAATTTCCTTTCACAAGCTCATCATGTTATACTTAATATTTTTTCCATACTCAGGCATTCAGACTACATAATACATAAAAACAAAATTCTTTTAGTTTTCTGTTGATCCGTTGTCTTAACCTGATTTTATTTGTTAGTCAATAGTTATTATAATATAAAATTATTTGATTATTTTCGTTCTTGTAATCTAAGTGGGCCCAAAATTCGAATAATTTTTAAAAAAAAAAAAACTCAATTTGGACTAAAAGTCCAAATCGACTAACCGAGCTGAACCAAATCAAATCGATTTTGTTTGATTTGATTCAGTTTAAGAGTTAGAGTAAGTTTGTTTGGATTGAAATACGCCCAAACTACCTAATTTAGTTAATTTCTGATTGGAGTCGAAACCAACCCAAGCCTAAATTTGTGCTAAAATAGCATGTCATCATCACCCAACCACCTATTAAATTTTATTGTATTTGTGGTCCTTGTGAATAGTTCTCATCAAATATTGTGCTAAGTAGCACTCATCCTCACCTAACCACGTATTAAATTTTATTGTATTTGTGGTCCCAGTGAAATGTTTTCATTCAATTTTATGTTAAAATTGTCGTGCCGGACCGCACATGGCTCCACGTCATCGAGGTCGGAGGTCCTCTTGTCCACCTGATCGGCCCATCAAGGCTTTCTGATCAATTATTGAATTAGCTTACCTAATCAAATATTGAAACAACCTCCAGCGAAGACATCCACACAAATGACAAGGCTTATTCATGTCTCTTTTGTTGAAGCAGAGGCGTTAAGGCGAGGAAGCTCCACAAAGTCCGAAGCTTGTTGTAGCAACTGACAACTCGTTCTATTAATTCTCACATCTTGTCCATGATGACAATTGTCATCCAAATTCTATAAAGAGAGGATAAAATGCTTATTTTTTCCTCGTGTTCTTAAATAAGCAAAACACAGCAAAGGTTGGACAAATTTCAAAGCACGCTAACATAATATTTGAATAGAAACTATCATCAAACACAATATTTGCTAATTAATTGGAAGGTTAAGAATAAGAATACGATGAAAAAAGTTGAAAATTTAAATGTAATAACAAGCAAATATTAAAATAAGTAAGCTTTAATTTGTTTTCAATTAAAATAAGCCTTACTCACTAAAATGATCATTTTATTTTATATATGAAATAACTTGGGAACAATCAAATTTTTATTATATCGTTAAATTTTAGACATAGTTAAAAAATGTTGGTTCAAACTCCAGCCAACTCTAATCCCACTACAACTTTAAATATCCAAACTACCAAAGAAGGGGGGTCTCGCAATATGGTGGTTGAAAGTTGACTCAACCACCAAACTCCAACTACCACTTGGTACTACAAAGTCCAAGGACACAGTGCCATTGCAAAGACTTGCCAGTGCTAAACTAATGCAGCTTATTCCTGTTTGGTTCCCATTTTCTCAAACTCAATATCAACCACATATTTCATGGATTCACAACTTTTATCAACTTTTCAAACACAATTTTCATAAGCTGTTATCAAAATCTACTAAAAATATGATTTTTAGCTAAACTAAACAGGGTTTCAGATAGAGAACGAGCCATAGAAACCACATTTAGGCATCCCAATTGATGAGGGCCCTCGTCTTAACAAAAAGCAGGATCGAAAAGAACAGATCTAAGGTAGAATGCACACCACACAATAAGAAGGTAAGGAGTCATGAATCAAATGCTGAGAAAACATAATATCCCGTAACAAATTCGCGTTATATGAGGTGTAGATATATGATTCACAGAACAAGAAAACAACTTTTTTGTAGGCTACAAGGATAAGAAATAAATTTTGTTATGTAGAAGAATCAACTACCCGTTACAGTGGCGCTCCTTATGCAAATCAAAATTTTGAGCAAGACCCCCAATTATTATTGGAAGAGTCTTCCTCGTGCCTCAGCGACAACAGACAGCCAAACAGCCTAACGTAGACGTATTGGAAATAAGGGACTTTATGGAATAATGATATGTTTCTTCTTGAGCTAAAATATCAATCTCGAGCAGGGCAAGAGCTGGGAATGATCTGCAAAAATTTCGCCCTAGCTGCAGAGTCAGTGGAAAATCGACCTAAGACACCAAATGTAGCAGTATTGCTGCCAAATTTCTCGATCCCTCGAGCTATCATACACATGTGATTAGCTTCCACAACTACCATTACATCTTCACCTAAAATGGATGAAACCGTCTCTGCTATTTGCCTGGTCAGCCTTTCCTGTACTTGGAGCTTGAATCCATAAAAATGTACTATTGACTGTAAAAGGGATCTCCCAACAGGACTTGCCCCATTGGAACAGTAATAACCTATATGCACTGCACCATGGAAGGGAAGTAAATGGTGTTCACATTGCGACCACAATGTCAAGTTCAGTTCTGAACAGATACAATCTTCAGTATGGTCTACTCCTCCATTGGAAGTTAGAGAATCTCTTCTGTTTCGGACAAACCCATTTAGCTTCATATCCAGATTAGTATTCCTAAACTTCATCAACCAATTCACAAAGCAAGCAGGAGTTTCAACGAGCTCCTTCCTTAATGGATCTTCACCCAAAGAACAAAGAATTGAAGCTACTGCATTAAGCATTACCGAATTTGCTGGTTCTGTCTTGCAGAATTCGTGAGACCGGCACCAAGATTTTTCACTCGAGCCTCTAGAATAGATATTTTCTACATTTACATCTCTGAATCTCAGAAGACTTAAAAAATCTGTCCAAGTATCTGACTTCTCATCTTCAAAAACTCCTGTCCCTGATGTAACTAAAATCTTCACCCATCCTTTGTGATTTGGGTCTAGGATGGCTGTTTCAAAATTTGGCAAATGAATGTGAGAACACTGGAGAACAACGGCAATGCCTGTCGCTTTGATACCATGCTGCAAAGCTGTACACAACTCATTGGCCAAGCGCTGTGGATCTTGAAGTCGTTTTGCAAAAATATCAGCTACTCGAGAGAGCTTGCTCAGGCCTACAACCCGGTGGCCATATGGGACATAACCCACATGACATTTAATCTGGAAAGGGAACAAGCATGACTCACAATAGGAGAAGAGATCAAGATCTCGAACAATTACAAGCCCACCAGCTCCACCGGCATGTCCAACTCCACTTTCTAATCCAGCTTCTGGGAATAAAGCGCCACAAACAATGTCCTTCACCGTCTGTTTATAACCTGGATATACATACAACATACAAATCATATTTGTAAACAAGTAACAAAAATCACAGCTACTGCTTGTACAATAAACGATATCTTAATAAATGATACAACATACAAATCATAGTTGTAATCATGTAACGAAAATCACAGCTACTGCTTGTACAATAAACGATATCTTAATAAATGGTTATCCAAAAACTAATAAAAATGTGTCATCGTCACTAGGGACCATAATCAACATCAACTATGCAGCAAAATTTCTACTATATGAATAATTACAATGAGTATTTTTCCAGGTGCACACCAATTTCCACGTTGCCTATCAGGTTGACTACCAAAATACTCAAATCTCCATTAATCTAATGTAGAACAGAATATTGAAAACTAAAATCTATACACTTGAACTGAATAATGAATTTCTCACAGTCCCCTCATTATAGTTTTGAAAGCAAAGGTCAAATAATTTTGTTTAGATCCAATCAAGCCAACAGTCAAATATTTTTCAATACGGATGGCAATGAAAATTTACTATAATAGATGCTAATACATTCATATCAATCTTGATTTGCCTCAAGGATACTTACAAGTGCCATCATTTTTTTTTTTTTTTACACAATTTAAACATGTTTCCAGTAGCAGGATGAAAAGTTTGGATCTTTTTTCAATAGACGCTTGCTACAATCACCCAGTTGCTTCAGAACTTGACACTGCTAACAGAAACCAACCTCGTTAAATATGTTCTCCAGTTCAAATATTTTTACTTAAGGCTGTATTAATCAAAATTTTCCGTCTATTATTGCTCTTGTTTGGCACCTGTTTAATTTATAAAAAATAATCGACAAACCTACTTTTTATTCGCACATTTCGTGAGACCACAAGTACCACCTACTTATCTATAATTCAAAATGACAACTATCTATTCCGAAACTAACACGACTACATAAGAAGCTTATTATTAGTGACGCAGTTATATATATCCACAACTCCCATAAGAATACAAATCTAATATACTTCACGAAGATGACAAGCAACAGATCCAACTAAAAGGGCCTTTTATAATGAATAAAACAACAGAAATGATTAATTACCTCTAGTTCCTTCACGAAGAGCCTTAGCTACACGAAGAGGGGTCTTTCGCAGACCTTCTCGTTCGATATCTTCACCCAAACCCTGCAAGAGGACTCTCACAGCATCCTCAATGTCAAGAATCTCAGGCTCATCCTCAAAACTCAGTTTAACATTGCCCCCTCGCTTCACTCCATTCTCTAGCTCCAGATAGTAATGCCCCTCATCTAAGGCGCCCATTACAGAAATTATTCAACTCCCACCAACCAGCCTACCCACCAACCCAAATCAGTAATCAAGATTCAGAACGAACAAAACTAAATCTTGAATCTTAAGATAAAAAAAAACAGAACCCAGTAAAGGTTCAGCAACAAGATTCAATCTTTAAGAGAACAACAGAAGATTCAAACCTTATGGCAGCGAGATAAAAATAACGGCCAGAACACAAAGAGATCTGACAGATCAAATCAATTAAAAAACGAATCTTCACAGAAGCCCCAAAAAAACAAGCGTCAGCCCCCGTTTGGCCCCTTTCTTTCCAAATTTTAATTTTTGAAATGGTTTTTTTTTTTTTTTTTTTTTAAGAAAATGTTGTTGAAAAAAAATGAAATTTTTTTTTATTTGTGTATAATATTATTTTATGAAAAATTGTATGATTGAAAATAAGAGAGAGAATGAAAATGAGAATGAGGCCAAAAGGAGTCTAAGTTGGATAAGTGAAAAGAAGTTTACTTGGAGTATTAGATAAGATGATGAGAAGAGGGTGAGGGATGTGTGAGCCCAAATGTTTGAAAGCAGTACGTAAAACGTAGGGTTGTCATTGATGATGGAATGTGTGGAACGACTTGCCCTTTTTTTTCAAGGATTGATCTATTTGTACCTGAATGTTTATCCGTTCAATTACCCTCCCCTCACATTGAGGGCGGGGTGCATGCACAATAAATGGGTGGGACCCGTCCCCATGTGAGAGGCGTGTAAACGCCCGAGTATATGTAGCAAATTCCTTTTTCCAAATCGTTACGAGATTTAAATAATCGGAGACGGGACCCCATCCTTCCCCTTTTCCTCTCTAACTTTTTTCCGAAAGGGAAAATTGAACGGACCGACTTTTCAAGTTCCAAACTTTTTAATCTTGACACTGCCATTTTAGATGTTGCAAAATTAAGCTCCTAATTGTGCTCCATTAAAATGTAATTTTGAAATAGTAATTTTTCCAAAAATGTATAATTAAAAAAGAAGTTGGAATTTACGTGTAATATTATTTTATTGAAAAATATGTGGATAAAATGGAGCGCTAGTAGGAGCAAAGCGTCACAAAGTCTTTAGGTGATTATGTTTAAAGATCAATCAATTAACTAAGGGCTGATTCGATATGACTTTTGAAATTGAAAAGTTATTTTTGAATTCATTTGATTTATTAAAGTACTTTTAGTAAAAAGAATTTTTAGATGAAATTAATTCTACATGACTTCTTTTAAAAAACACTTTTGAAATATGAAGCTCCTTTAGAAATTAAATTTCAAACAAAAATTAAGATAACTTTCTAATAAAATTCTTTTACATGAAACAAAAGTCATGTCAAATGGATCTTAATTATGCAACGATTGACCTTCGTTTTACTAATTTTAACAAGGTAAAAAAGTATGTCCATATTTTTCCACATAAAATAGTTAATAAAAAAAAATGCTTCATCTTACCTACCAACCCTTCGTCAAACCAATTCAATCCAACCCAGCCTAATTCCACTACACCGCCACCACAACTCATAATCGCCAATGTCACAACGATCAAAGTATCGGAGGATATCTCCCCCAATACCTGAAACCCAAACTATTCAAGCCTTGGTTATTGCAAGTTGTGTTGCAAATCTAAAGGAGAAAAATCCACTATGACGCCTCGATTGACGAGGCTCCAGAGAATCCAACTCGACAGGGTAAATCTAAGCCCACATTTTATGTCACTCTGCCCAAGAGGCAGTTTGGTTGAACCGTTGTAAAGAGGTTGAGCCTATATGGAAATTTGAACCCATTTGTTGGAGTCGACCCTGTATGAAGTACCGAACCCTCATGACGGGGTAAGGCTACTGGGGGCTTAACAGGATATTTTTGTGCAATCCTTTGCAAGTTATTGAAGTGACAATTCATTGCAATCACTACCCTATTTAGTCAATTAGGTCAAGTATAAGTCTGTGTCAAATTTATGGGCAAAAAGTATGATTAGCATTAAATGCTCATGATTGCTTAAGAATCTTGACAAGAGGCCTCGGCCGCATGGATCAACCAAGTATACTTTCATCCTATGATCAGTATTTATTATATTCTACTATAAGAGCTTACATAATGTACCATTCTGAAAATCATACAAGTTTAGACTCTCACGCTATAATTTTGATATCCTTATTGTTATTATCATGAATTCTTCCTAAACTCAACTCCTTTTTACATAGAGGCTAGCGTCTAAAGTAGCTTACACACTCATATACTCTACACTTCAGCTGACTTGACCATCGTAGTGCGTGCGACTAATTTCCCCATCAAAGAAAAGTCACGTATGGTTAATGATTTTTTCTAGTGTGTAGAAATTCGGCTTACATGGACGTGGGAGACCTAGGGATTTGTTGACCACATTGAAGATACAAAAATAGAGGTCAACATTCCCCCAAATTAGAAATGGCAGTGGTCATGTGTGAGATGGGCGTGAGAAAAAGAAATTTTTGTTAAAGATGTCATTTTAATCAAAATCGAACCTCTCAATCAAAATTGAAATCGAACCAAAATCGAAACCAAGAATCAAGTTTGTTCTCGAACCGAAATTGTGGGTGCCTAACTCAAAAATTGAATTCGTCTCTTTTTATAAGTTTTTTTTTACTTTTTTACAATTTACCCTAACCCAATGACCTCCCCCAACAAGTAGCAAGTACTCTAATCTATGTGATTCATTCATTTGAATAATTGAATTATATCATTTTCATTCATAGACATTTTGATTGCACCTTAGTTCTACTCGTCCCCGCAAACCATTCTTGATACGTCACATGCAGTGCCTTGATATGTCCTTTCTAACTCTCTTTATGTAAATTATATGTTTGCTTAATTACTTCTACAAAAATTGGACAACTTCAATTCGCATGCCTAGCTAACAAAATATTGGACTAAAACTAACTAAATGTCCATCTGATGTATAGTTTTGTAAACATTTGGAATCAAGGTGCCAAAAATAAGGTTTGGGACCTCTCTGTACTTTGTTGAAAAGCTTAGAACTCAAACTATAATTTCCCCTTTCCTGAAAAACGAGATCTAACTTGCTGGAAAATGAAACGCAGATAATGCCCCATTGGCTGCTACTGCAGGACTGGATCGATGAGCTATCGTTTTCTTTATTCAGTTATTTATTTTGAAATTTCACTTTTTATGCAAGCAGAGCAATATGTGGGCCAATTTGAAAAGGCGGCAGTAAAGCCCAGAGAGTCGGTACAATTCATGATTACAAATTCACCATTCATTTTAGCGATGTTTAACATTCGTTAGAATCATAATTCATTTTTTTTTTTATCTTTGTTATTAATTACATATTTTTTAATAAAATAATATTACACGTATTCTTTATTTATTTATTTTTTCACCTTAACTACACACACAGATATATATATATACATATATATATATATATATATATATATATATTTCTTAATTTCATCCATTAAAATCCCACCAACCAGTCCCAAAACCTTAATCAAATTAATGCATACTTACGAGGGTAATTCCCCTTTACGAGGGCCACACTAGTGGACCAATTGGATCAAACTAGTGATGGTAACGGGGCAGGTCGCCAAGCCAAAATCCCACCCCGCCCCGCCTTGCCTTAGATTGGGCATGACGAGTTGGTTCGGGGCCACTTTTTGCCCGTTTGTTACCTCATTTAATTTTTTTTTTTTTTTTTTTACATTTTCAAAATTTCGAGTTATGTTATAATTAGAGAATAAAATACAAATTTAAAATGGATCTTTAGCATGTAAATTATTTAGAAATAAATTTATTTTTATTCCTTTTTTTTTCTATCTTCAAGGGGCGGGTTTGGGGTGGGGCATCCCCGCGACAGGGCGCCGCCAACCTGTTCGGGAACGTAGGACCCTGTCGGGTCGAGACGGGGTTTTTTGCCATTCCTAGATCAAACCAAGCAATATAAAGCAAAATTCAAGAAAACCAAGCAATATAAAGCAAATTTCAAGAAAACAATAAGAGTCCAAATTTAGGCCCCTGTTTGGCCCCTTTTTTGTTTTTAGATTTTAATATTTGGAATAGTATTTTTTTTTTTTTTAGAATGTGTAGTTAAAAAAGTAGGAAAAATTTTCGATTTAGTGTAATATTATTTTATGAAAGATTGTGTGATTGAAAATAAAAGTGAAAAAATATTGAAAGAAAAAGGATGGCCAAACTGGGACTTAGTATATTGCAGTATGATGGTACATGTTAATTTTATACAATTAAGCATTCCTAGTACATTTCTTGTTTGTTAACTTGAACAATTGCATAGAATCGAGCATATATTATACTTTAGAATACGTGTTGATGATTATGTATTGCCTTTTAGCCTAAATACATTTTTATTTCTGAGACTTTTTGTAGGTTTTTTTAATTCCTCGTTGGATTTTTTTTCCCCTAATGTAGCCTAATTCTGTGTAGTATTGGAAATTCTTACTTTGATGATATTAGCAATAATCTTATAAATGAAATGGGAGGTAAGGATGGTTTGTTGGAAAACCATTCCATAAATTGGAATATTGGAGCTCATTCATACAAGTGTAAGAAAATGATACAAATGTTCAAAAGGATAAGGACATCTCCAATGTGAGTATCAAAACATCAAAATACACCATTATTTGGTACAAAGGAGCTCCAACGCAACACTATACTTTGCATCATTTTCGTGCAAAATGGTTCAAAGTGTATAAAGTCTTTTTTGCCCTTTTTTATCATTTTCCAAATAAATTTATTAAGAGTATTTGTGTCTTTTGTGCTATATATTTTTTAATACAATAAATTATTATTATTTACATTTAAAATTTAATAATTAATGAATTAATTAAAAGAAAAAATTTTTAAATGTAACAAGACGATTATTTATTAAAGTTAACACGAAATATATTAAACGACGACATACATATGATAATCTAATTTTATTTAAAAACAACGATATATAAAAAAAGTTTTTACTAATTATACTATATTATTTATATTTATTAATGAATTTAATCTTTTTCATAATTTAACGTAATTATTTATTTAGTAATTTATGTATTTATAAAATAATTAAATAAATAATATTTCAAATAAATAAATTATTAAGAATAAAAAAATGAAAGAAAATTGTTAAACACTGTTCATTTGGTATAATGGCTGAAGAAGAATTTTAATCTGATATAAGATTTGGTGCAAAATGGTGCAGCGTTGAAGATGGCCTAAGTACCCTGAGGTCTGTAGGAAAACTAAACCTATAATAACAACATCCAAAAGTTAACCGTTTTGCTAAAAAAGATGGGAAAAACCTGGAGAAGTTACTCT